TTTTCCTGTTGATCTTCCTATTGTTGATTTCTAATTTGATAGCATTATGATCTGAGAAGATGCTTTGCAGTATTTCAATGTTTTTGAATTTATTTTGGCTTGCTTTATGGCCTAATATATGGTCTATCATGGAAAATGTTCCATGTGCACTGGAGAAGAATGTATATTGTGCTGCTGTTAGGTGAAGTGCTCTGTAGATGTCTGTAAAGCCAAGTTGGTGGATTGTATGGATTGTATTGTTTAGCTCTTCTACATCTTTGTTGAGTTTCTTTCCAGTTGTTCTGTCTTTCAAAGAAAGTGGTGCTTTAAAGTCTCCTACTATGACTGTGGAGTCATCTATTTGGCTTTTCAACTCTTTTAAAGTCTGATTTATGAATTTGGGGGTTCTTTCATTGGGTCTATATATATTTATTATGGTTATATCTTCTTGTTCAATTGATCCTTTGTTGTTGTTGTTATGTGCTGTCAAGTCGGACCTGACTCATAGCGACCTCTCCTTAGAGGTTTCTGAGGCAGTGTCACTATGGAAGTAGATTGCCCTATCTTCCTTCCGAGGAGTGGCTGGTGGGTTTGAACAGCCAGCCTTCTGGTTAGCAGTCAAATGCCTTAGCCACTATGCTACCAGAGCTCCCAATTGATCCTTTAATCATTATATAATGTCCTTCCTTATCTCATAAGGTGGTTTTTGTCTTAAAGTCCATTTGATCAGAAATTAATATTGCCACTCCTGCTGTCTTATAGTTGCCATTTGCTTGATATATCTTTTTCCAACCTTTGATAAAATCTTAAAATATGTTATATTTTTTAAGTTCAGAAATTGATTTGTGATTTTGCCATTGAAGAAGAAATTATTTGGCCTGGATATACAGTGATGACCTGATTGGGGCACGCTGAGCTCAGCGGTTTTCTCTGAGAGACTGTTATCACATAGCAAAAGAATATTGCATTTTATGTGGGTATTTAGGTGGAAGCAGAGCAGCATAAATACAATACACTCTAAGACTCTTCATTTCTGTGCTTTTGGCAATTAGGAAAGGTAAAAGATCCTTGAAAACCAGAGTGAGCAAGGGCTTACTTAGGTAGAAATTGTGTGTAACTGCTGAAAAGGGAGTTGGTACAACTCAAGCCTATTATGAGTTTTGGCCCAGACCCTAGCAAACTAGAATATTTCAAAAATAAAGAATAATTTTTTAGAAATCACATTTTCTACCTAACAGTACAAGGTCAATGCACTGTTTAGCCCAAGGTGATATTCCTCTCTGTACCTGAAAGCACTGTGTCCCATAAAGTCACCTTGTTTACTTTCTTTTCACTGCATATAAAACACTATCAATTATAAGTTATACCATTACACTGATGTAATACTAAAAAAAAAAAGGATTGTTATGTGTGAGCCCATTCTTTTAGCCACTATGTCGATCCATCTCATTGGAGGTCTTCCTCTTTTTTGCTGACCCTCTACTTTACCAAGCATGATGTCCTTCCCCAGGAACTGAGCCTTCCTGATAGCATGTCCAAAGTATGTGAGACTAAGTCTTACCATCCTTTATTCTAAGGAGCATTCTGGCTGTACTTCTAAGACAGATTTGTTTGTTCTTCTGGTAGTCCATGCTATATTCAGTATTCTTTGCCAGTACCATGATTCAAAGGCATCAGTTCCTCTTGGATCTTATTCATTGTCCTGCTTTCACATGCATATAAGACGGCTGTGGTGGCATAGTGCCTAAGGCATTTGACTGCTAACCAGAAGGCTGGAGGTTCAAACCCACCAGCCACTCCTTGGAAGGAAGATTGGGCTATCTACTTCCGTAGAGATACCACCTCAGAAACTCAAGGAGGGGTCGCTGTGATTCAGATCTGACTCAACAGCAGTGCGTTGCATTATTATATTGGGTCCAGTGCACCTTAGTTCTCAAAGTGATATTTCTGCTCTTTAATCCTTTAAAAAGATCTTTTGCAGCAGATTTGCCCAATGCAATATGTCTGATTTCTTGACTGCTGCTTCCATGGCTATTGATTGTGGTTCCAGGTAAAATGAAATCCCTCACAACTTCAGTCTTTTCTCCATTTATCATGATGTTGCTTAGTGGTCCAGTTGTGAGGATTTTCGTTTTCTTTTTTGTTGAATTGTTATCTGTAGTACTGAATGCTATAGTCTTTGATACTTATCAGTAAGTGCTTCAAGAGCTCTTCACTTTCAGCAAGCAAGATTGTATCATCTGCATATCACAGGTTATTAATGAGTTCTCTGATCCTAATGCCATGTTGTTCTTCATACAGTCCAGCTTCACAAATAATTTGCTCAGCATACAGATTGAGTAAGTGTAGTGAAAAGATAGACGCCTAACACACTTTTCCTGATTTTAAACTACACAGTATCCCCTTGCTTTGTTCACATAATTACAGCTGGTCTATGTGCAGGTCCCTCTTGAACACAAGTAAGTGTTCTGGATTTCCCATTCTTTGCAGTATTGTCTATAATCTTCTATGATCCACACAGTCAAATGCCTATGTATGGTCAATAAAATGCTCACTATAGCACTATTTATTTTAACATCCTGATAGATTATTGCCACTGCAGTTTGCCATACTGATGCCTATACCCTGAGCGGGGCTGACCCAGAGGGGTGTTTTCCAGTAATCCTGGGACATGAAGGAGCTGGAATTGTGGAGAGTGTTGGCGAAGGAGTTACTAAGGTGAAAGCAGGTAAGGAGAGTATTTGAATCACTTATTTCATGATTTTGCTGAATTCTATAGGGAAATTACTGCTTTTTACAAAATATACACCATTTATTTATGAACACGTTATTGCTTAAGTGAATTTTCAAGATTGATTTTATGCTTAATCTGAGAAGCACAAATAAAACTTTGAGAAATGCATCAGTGAATCAGTATTTTGAAGCATGTGACCTCCTTGTTCTCTACTTACTGTTGTAAGAATTTTATTTAGGTACAAATTTGGAAACTTGTGTTTTTCATGGTCAAGGAATGTCTGAATAATATTATGTAGGTAAACTTCTGTGCCTTGAAGTTGTTAACCTAGAGCAAAAATCACATAAGTTGACAGGAATGGGAACTTACTAGGGCTGATTTATTCACTTAGAAACATGCTACTTATTCAGGCTAATGTCTTTGCATTTGTTTTGTAGGTGACACTGTCATTCCACTTTATATCCCACAGTGTGGAGAATGCAAATTTTGTCTAAATCCTAAAACAAACCTTTGCCAGAAGATAAGGTTAGTATCTTATTTTATTCTTAAAACAAGAGGGTCATTTAAAAATGATAGTAAGTCATTGTGTGGCAGTTTACAAAGTGCTTTTTACATGGATTATTTCATTCCATCTTGATAGCAAACTTCACTATCATTGTTAGTATCCCCATTTTCATAGATGAGCTAAATAAGATTAGAAAATTAAGTGGTTTGCCCTGTATCACCAGCTATTAAGAGATAAAACAGAGTTTCTGGAACCCATTCTATTTCCATAAAGTTAGACTGGATTTGCCAAAATATAGAATAAAGAGGAACATGCTTGTGAGAGTAAATGAAATTGTTTCTGTGAGTGTTTTATTGTTCATAAAATCAAAGTAATAAAACTTACCTCATATGGTTAATGGGAAGACTACAAAAGATAACATAACCCTTTGACACAGAAAAGGTAGTTATTTTATTGTAGTAAGGTAGCAGCACTTAGAGAACTACTACTTTGAGGCAATTTAAAATTCATTTGTGTTTGTTTCTTTTTTTATAGAAGTGGAACATACATATAATAAAGTCCTTAAAGTATACAAAGCTTAAGTGTACAGATCACTGAATTTTTATGTATATACTCACCAGGTGGTTATAATCATCACCTAGATTATGATAGCTCTTCCAGCACCTCACAAAATCTCATATCCCTTCCACATAGACACCCTCCTTCCTCAAAGGTAACTACTGTCCTGAGTTCTTTCACTGTAAGTCTTCATACAAATGGAATCATGCAGTGTGTACTCTTTTGTCTGGTTTCTCACTCTTCTAAAGTCGAGACATGTATCCAAGTTGCTGTGAATACCAGTAGTTCTTTTTTTTATTGCTATGTCATATTCCAGGAGCTCTGGTAGCATAGTGCCTAAGGTACTTGACTGCTAACCAGAAGGCTGGCAGTTCAAACTCACCAGTCACTCCTCAGAAGGAAGGTTGGGCAATCTACTTCTATAGTGATACCGCCTCGGAAACCGAAGGAGGGGTCGCTATGAGTCGGATCCGACTCCACGGCAAATAACAACAACAACATGCCATATTCAGTTCTAAGTATCACTATTTTTCATTTTCCTATTAATGCATATTTAGGCTCCTCCCAGTTTAGGACTATTATTATTGTCACTGTGAACGTTCTTACACACATCTTTTGATGGTTATACACGGTACTTTCTCATGGGCATTTTCCTAGCATGGGTTTGCTGAGTCATAGGATGTGTATATAGGTATGTCCAGTATGATTGTCCCACTTTTCACTCCCACCAGCACTGTATGGGATATCTACATGTTTTTGCATTCATTTGCTGATACCATTGACAAAATTAGATTATTTTTGGAAAACAAGATTCCATTTACTTTATAATATAAAAATCCAGTTACTTTTGGCACAACTAGAACCCAAAACAGTCTAGTTGCTTTCAAAGGGACTCTCAAACACAGTCTAAAACATTTTGCAATACATCAAGTATAATAATGGTGATATACTTTTTTGTGACTATTTGTACCTGTTTAAAGGGAGAGGTTCTTTCAAAGCATAAAATTATCTTATATTACCTTCTTTTCAAGAAACTCTGCAACACAAGTGATTTTTCACATTGAGGAAGTCCAAACAGACTTAAATTGATCTCATAAAGATAAAACAGTTATTTGTGGTAGAACTTTGTCAGCCTGTTGTTATTTGCTTCTGGTCATATTTTAATTTTTTTTCCAAAGCAACTGTATTTACTCTTGAAGTTATATATAGATGTAAACAAATATATAGCTGAAGAGAAAATGGACTGCCTCCATATTCCAAAGGATTTTTCTAAGAATATATATCAAACTACAGTGTTTATTTTGAATAAAATAATAAACGTTTACTAAGCACTCTATAACAGGCACAGTGCTAATGCTTTACATAACATCTCACTTGAATTTTTATAGTAATTTAGGAGGAAGATATTATTGTTTCTCCCCCATTGGAAACTAAGTCACAAAAACCCTAATTAGCTTGCCCAAGCTCACACAGAATTTAGATCCAAGTGTGTCTGACTTTAGGGCCCATACTCCTAAACAAGACATTTTGTCAGCTGTTTAGAATATTAAAAAATAATTTGTGTTTCTGTTTATTGCATTGGTGGCCTTTGTGCATTTTTTTGCTTTATTGATGTAACTAATTGTACAGGCAGAGTTAAAAGTAAAGGTAACTTGAATCTTTGAAGACTGTTAAAATTTTTTTAATAGTCTGAACATTGGAAATGTTCAGATGTAAACTGAATTTACATCTGGGAAGATGTAAATTGTCCAGTTTGGCCTTCTGTCATAATCTGCTGATCTCTATAATTGCTTATAATCTCTACTTTTATAAATGCTGATTTTGGTTTAATCCTTTATGCAGTTGTAGTTGTTCACAGTAATATCATCTGATCCATAAATCTATTAAAGTGACTTATATATACTCTGACAAGAAGAGATTATAAATATCTAATAAAGCATTGAATATTTATTGGCCATTATTTTTAACACCTATTTCTTTCTCTTGCGAGTTTAAGCACAGTAGTGGGAATGGACTCAAGCATGCCAACAATCGTGAAGATGTTGCAAGACCCAGCATTGTTTTGTTCTGCTGTATATAAATAAGGTCACCATGACTTGTAGCCAACTTGATGGCAGCTAACAACAACAACATGGGTTTTAAGAAACCTGATTCTACCCTGCCTTTTTCCTCTTTTCTTTTCTTTAGAGTCACTCAAGGGAAAGGCTTAATGCCAGATGGTACTAGCAGATTTACTTGCAAAGGAAAGACCATTTTACATTACATGGGAACCAGCACTTTTTCTGAATACACAGTTGTAGCTGATATCTCTGTTGCTAAAATAGATCCGTTGGCACCTCTGGATAAAGTCTGCCTGCTGGGTTGTGGCATTTCAACTGGTTATGGTGCTGCCATAAACACTGCCAAGGTAAGAGATTGGCCTGGATTTTAGCTTCTGCCTTCTCATTTGATTCAACAAAGCTTTGCTGCAATAATAAAATTGGTCCAATCCATAAGAAACCTAGTGATTTCCTTGACTTTTCTGGAACAAATATCTTAAAGATGATGTTTACTCTTAGGTGGAGCCTGGCTCTACTTGCGCCATCTTTGGCCTGGGAGGAGTTGGATTGGCAACTATCATGGGCTGTAAGGTGGCTGGTGCATCCCGGATCATTGGTGTCGACATCAATAAAGATAAATTTGCAAGGGCCAAAGAGTTTGGAGCCTCAGAATGTGTTAACCCGCAGGACTTCAGTAAGCCTATCCAGGAGGTGCTCGTTGAGATGACAGATGGAGGTGTAGACTATTCTTTTGAGTGCATTGGTAATGTGAAGGTCATGGTAAGTATGCCTGGCTTCATTCCCTTCTTGCTATTGCTTTTTTTTTTTGAAATGTCATTCTATTATTTAAGATAAAGCATTGGTTTGTTTTTGCAGAGGAAAAGTAATTCTATCCTAATAGAAGATGAGAAAATAAACAGAATTTTGAATGGGAAGTGATAGAATGGATCAGGGAAAGATGAGAAAAAAATCTTTGCCTTTCAATTACTATTCTAAATCTTAGAATGTGTGTCACTGCAAAAGTGCTATAGCAGTGTCATCTTCCAGCCTCCTTTAACTTCACAAGGAGGAGAGAGAATCACCCCAAGGCTGATTCCTGTAATGTGGAGGTCAGACACACCACCATCCTCCAGCCTTTATACCAGTTCTCACACCAACCATCTCTCCCATGGCACTCCGCGTCTCTCCTGGGTTCAATAATTCATTGCAACGGCCACACAGAATTTACAGTCAGTACTCACGATTATTGGGTTTATTAGCAGAGTAACAGGTTACAGTTCAAGTTCAGGAATGTTCAGGATACAGCCATCAGGACAGCCTCCCCTCAGCCATGCCCACAGGTGTGCCCCCCTTTGGCTCTCAGCCTGGCCTCTGCCCTGCTTGGACAAGTATCAGAAAGGTCTTTTAGCTCTCCACTCCACTAGCAAACCTCCTGCCTGAAGGCACTCAGCTTTTTCACACCATGGGCCAGCAAGCCCTCAGCTGTGTCTAACAATGTTGGTTCTGCTGCCTTTGCTGAGAAGGTCCGCCGCAGAGATCTCAAGTCCAAGGAAGTGCTCCACTCCCAGCTTAGCTTTCTCGGTGGCAGTGAGATCCCCCTTTTCCATCTCTGGTATGACTCATTTTAAGCCTAAAGGAATGGTGAAACTGACTGATCCCCAAGTTAGGGTTCCATACGCGTTATTTACATGATCCCACCCCCACAAGGGTGCCATGTACCTCATTTACATTATTAGCACGCTATCCAATCCCCTTGGTGGGCCATAAGCACCTCACATTTGCATAATCCCACCCAGTCATCTGGTCAGGGTTACAGAGACCAAGGCTAGAAGAGTCCTACCAAGTAATTCACCATACCACAGTCATTTAATGAAAAGGCAGAATGATGTAGTAGTGAAAAACAGGCTTTGAAATTAGAGAGTTATCCACTTACTGACTCAGTGACCTGAGCAGGGGACTTCTCTAAATCTCAGTTTTCTTATCTGCAAATGCAGATAGGATAGTACCTAATTGACACAAAGTAAATGCTCAGTAAATGTAGTTAATGCTACCTACTCCGTCTCCTGCCTGTTTCTTTTATTATTAAAGTCTTTAGAATTTGGGGCTAAGAATTACTTTTAAAAATATAAAGCAAATAAAAGCTTTAAATCCCTTCAATTTGTGTTGTTGTTATGTGTCGTCGAGTCAGACCGGACTCATAGCGATCCCTCCTTGGGTTTCCGAGGCAGTATCACTAAGGAAGTAGATTGCCCCACCTTCCCTCCGAGGAGTGGCTGGTGGGTTTGAACCACCAGTCTTCTGGTTAGCAATTGAGTGCCTTAGGTACCATGCTACCAGAGCTCCTTCAATTTGTGTTACTATTAGGCTAAATAGGGAGCTCTGGTAGCATAGTGCCTAAGCACTTGACTGCTAACCAGAAGGCTGGTGGTTCATACCCACCAGCTACTCCTCAGAAGGAAGATGGGGCAATCTACTTCCGTAGTGATACTGCCTCAGAAACCCAAGGAGGGGTCGCTATGAGTTGGGTCCAACTCAACGGCACAT